TTGAGTTCTAGTTTACGACCCGTAGGCAGTATGCAACCACAATCCCAGAGGTTATCGCCACCAGAGCCTTCACGTCACGAGGCCAAACCCGTTGACCGTTCAGCCAATTGGACTGAAATACAATGGTTCATGGCTTCTAATTTTTATCATTTGGTGATTTTAATCAGACTGCCACTCAATGTCATCTACAAGTATTTGTTCTCACACTCAACCTGGTGGATACCATTACTCACGGCATCTTAATTACTCTTTAGTAGGCTATAAGCGACACTTATTGTGCGTGCTGGCGGGGGTGTCAGTGATACTACTAAATGAAGTAGGCGTAGTGCCACTCGAAGCCAAGATGCATCAAACAAAAGTCAAATGATTAGGCCAATGACCCCACCCCATCCCACCAACCAGCATCACCGTATCGTGAACTGATAGAGATAAGAACTCATAGGACATTGGATTGTGTTTCAAGCGGCTGAATGTTCAAAGAAATTGGTCTAGCGACCTAAAGTTCCTGGTTTCTATTTGTGGAGGGATCGTCGTCGCGTACTGGTGGATGGTTGCAAGCTGGGACTCACCAACTGTTCAGTAATCCCTGTTTTTCAGTGGTTGTCTAGTGGACATCAATCCATGATGAAATCTGAAACAAATCAAATCCTAGAAAAATAACTTATGAATATATATATATATATATAAAGAATTCAGCTAGGTTATTTCTGAAAGCTTTTCAACCGTGTTTAAATCATACATACACTGGAAGAGAATCCGAAGACAACTGAATAGTTTATTATTCTATCAACAATTTTGGCTTTTGTAGTCCAATAACTACAGCAGTCTCAGATGATATGTCATGTTTGCTTGTTAGTTGCATCTAACTTTGCTTCTAATGCATTTCTAATTTGAAAGCCTTTCCCCTTAGACCTCTGATTTGTTAATAATGTTTGTGAAGTTTCAGATTCACTTTAGTTTAGCGTGTTCACTAAATTGCAAGCGCTGAATACTTTTTGATCAAAGAATTTATGAACCATAGAGAACAAAAGAAACACAACGAAATCTTAATCGTCTGTCTTGATAGAGATGCTGGTGTAATTAGTGTAGATGAAACAGTATCAATGTAACTGCATAATCAACTGTACTATTGGTAACCGACCAGCACAGTGTGCTATTTATTCAGTAGGCAATTTACTGTGTCACTGAATGAAGTAGATAGGAATCTCGCTGATGAAATGAATTTCATGAAGATCCCAGATGTTGATGATAGTCGGAAAGCTATAGACCTGTTTCGATAGTTTCTTACTACTGAATAATAACTTCTAATAGCGGCAACGAATTTATTCAGACTACTTTAAAAAATCTTTAATACCTCAGTCGAATATATTAATGACGCACTCGTCATCTACGCAGATAATTTAAATTTACACTGACCTCATTATTTCCTTAATTACTATCAACTTCTAATTGATACTGTAGTTGAATTAGAATCCTGTATAATAACTTTGCTGCTAGATGTCATTTTTATTGGTGGAATGCGTAAAATATCTTTGTATGGGACAAGTACAAGCTGGTACTATTGTTCCTGCAGGTCCTACCATACCACGAAGGTTCTTAGGATAGAGATTAGACTAAAAGCAGTTACCGGTATAGTGTATGAATTTTTTTTACACTATGCTGGGGGTTTGTGGACGAAGTCGTACTGCTGGGGAACAGGGATGTGGCAGCAGTCAGGTGTTTCCTCAGATGACCAGCATGCCAGATATGCTGTCTCTCCACTCTGGAGAGAGAGGGTCGATCTCAAAAACTGTACATTCCGACTTACCTTACGGTGGCCCGTAATCGCCGGTAAGTTTGCTAATATGGAACCAAACCAAGAAACCAGTTCATACAGGCAGCGTGTGACTGGCCTCATGCAGTTGTCTCCTAGGCTCTACGGTCACGCAACACTAACCCTCTTTGTTTCAGGTATTCGAAGAATAAATCAACTTCTACGGCGTGGGTAGCCGGGAAGTAACAACCGCCCACACACTTCCAAGTGCAAACAAGAACCATGTAGAGAACAATGATTACAGTAGTGTTTCCAGTCATGAAAAAAAAGAATTCAACTAGTGCATACACTGTCATCATATTTACACACGTGAAGATGAGATAAAATCCAACAAAATCAGAGTTAAACTTAAAGAAGTGTCAGAAAATTCTAAGATAAAAACCTTAGATATAAAGCATATATGCAAATGTTCTGTGAAATAATACACCTCCAAAGACCCAGACATTCACTGGAAACGTAAATGATTAGGATTTTAAATGGAGATTTAAATTTGGTGTTAAATAGTATTTTATGCAGCAACTCTTTAAATCGTTTATTTTGTTCAGTCATTGATTAACGCCAAAACAGACAGTTCACCTGGTCTTGCAGAACTGCTAACACCAGTTGCACCACAGACACACTTTACAGAGTAGATGACACCACCGATCATGTTTAAGTAAAGATGACACAGGTCAACTAAATACCAAGCTTAAAACATTGTTTTGACAATGAGTTAACAGATCCGTAAAATTGGTTTACTCTGGTTTGAAAATTCAATTATGACCTTTAAAAAGGTCCGAAAAATATTCGCCTAAATATACTTAGTCTGACTACCTAAACTTGGGAACCAAAGTTTTACATTTTTAATCAAGTTCTCCATATTATTTCTGAATTTGAGTTTTACATTTCAGTTATTGAGTTTTAACAACACTTTGTCAGTAAGTTTACTTGGTAGATTTTCGGCTAACCAACATCAGTCGAGGTTGCATAGCGGTTAGGACGCTCGCCGACCATGCACATGGTCCAGGGTTCGATCCCCGGCCGATGGACTCCTTTACCTTGCTGGGCCAGAAATAATGCTAGTAAAGAGGAAAGATTGGGCATGAGGCTAGCAACTCATCCTGTAAAATAAACACTGCCACAGAAACTTCATGCCATTAGCTTGAAGCCCTATGTTCAGCTGGGGAACGTGAAGGGAAAAAAAGGAAATACAGGAAGCTAAGAAGCACCAGGAAATCGCCTTTTCCTTCTTTAGATACTTATATTGGCTTATGGTAGGGAAGGTAATCAGTATTTCGTTTGCATAACTAATTTCCACATTTATTAATCAAAAAATTCTAAAAATATCAGCACTTCATTACACTTGTACAATCCTTAAGATTAATAACATACGGAGAAAATTTGTGTACATAATTTGTTTCCCTCCTAAGTTTTAACAATCTAAAGAATTTTTGACAACAAACACTTCAGTCGATTATCCCCACACTCTATAAATGACACTGAAGTTAGTTTATTGGTTGTTCCAGCGGTAAACAAATATTGTGTTTTCTATTACACCTGGAAGTAAACAAGTTCATCTGCGACCAGTTATGTATGTTAATAAACCTGTTTCCCTGCCTTCAAAAAGACAGAATTTTGTCGCAAAAGTGAAAGAGCAAACTGGAACTTCGTGTGCTTATGATCGAACTAGCGAAGATGCTAGTTTACCTAGATGAACTGGAAAACCCTAATTCCAAGCCAATGATGTACATGGGTTTCAGAATCAGAACAGATCAAACACTGTATTAACCTGTTTAGGTCACCAGAAAGCGTGGAAACACGACTTCTCACACTGCTCCACCGCAGCGTGACTTTTGACTTCAAGTCAAAAGCTCTTGGGTCGTCCCCTTAAGATAACCATCTGCTTAGGTCTGGGCATCCAAGCACAAACTATGAGATTTCGACTTGCTCGTATCTTGGAGCTCATGATGTATTTTTACCATTGCTTTTTTTTAGTTCCCAGAGGAACATAGGGCTTCAGCCGACGTCTCAATTGAGTTCGGTTCTCTACCAACGTTTCCACCTAGCTTTACATCCGCCCACATGCTTTCACTCCTCTACACATGACCTCCTCCATGTAACCATAGCACTAACGACCAACTCGCCACTTGCCATTTGGTTTTCACTCGAGAGATGGCCTGTCTTGTCATGTCACTTGATGATTTCTCAGAGTATGGCCAACCCACTTCCATTTATTCCTGTATATTTGTTTCACGATCGGTTCCTGGTTGGTTCTCTCCCAGAGATCCCTGTTTCTGATCTTTTCTGGACAGACTTCTGATCCTGAGTAGTATTGAGCGAATTCAGCTTTTGATGGAAGTCTGTAGTTTGTTCGAAGTGCCCTTCGTGACGTGGCGCCAAGTTTCTGATCCGTACAGTGGCACCTACTTCACAAAAGAGTTGAAAATCTGGATCTTATTTTTCATGCTTATGATGTGCCATGTCTTTATTTTACTAACAATAAAACTAATCAAAAAACTGAGCTTAATCTTTATTATGTCCAAATATATTACTCTTACCAACACATTTCTAAGTGATTTAGTCATTTGATTTAGTTTTGCTGTCATTACTAATAGTTTACGTAAGCTGCTGTCTAAGCGGGTAGGTTTAGTGGGTATCATAAGGTTCCGCATTATAACAGGTCATTCAGTTCATACAACCATACATTCCAGATATTTTAAAAAATGTAGACGTTGTACATGACTAACATACATTTTTACAAACTTCCAGTGATCTGATGGAGGTCTTCCTGGGTGGTTTTAAGTTACTACAAGTATTTACATAGTCAAAGTCTCAAGTACGTGAATGAAGCAAGTCAAGGCTTAGTCACAAGAAAAGATACTGCAAGTGAACTTGACCGGGGAATATTTAATGTTGCTTACAGTACGGCAAGGCAGTAAATTAGACTTTGAAAAATAAAAGAGCTTATCAAGTCAGGCTGTTCTTGGCTTTGAATTCCTCATAAGTGCTTGTATGCTAAACACTGTTTTGTCATTCGACTTTCATATCAGATGAAGTTGATAGATCACATGACTTTATGGGTGTTATTTGCTTCTTAGCGTAACTGCCAGCAAAATGACAACAACATGTTGAAGACAATAAAATGTCTCGAAACAAACTTTCTATATCATAGTTGCTAGGAAAGTTACCTACATTACAGTAATCTTACCGGCTAAAAGTACTGGTTTAGAATCCAAACATTTTTGTGCCACTAAATCAAACTGGTGCATTATTGGAAAGTTCTTCAAGAATTCTTTATCTACTGTGCAACCCGGTTGTATTTCAGCTTTAGGTATTTTTGAAGTGATGGATTTCTTCCTAATATTTCGTCCTGTAGATCGATATGCGTCTGTAGATTTGGCAGCAGATGATGATAAACAGATATGTCTGCTATCAGATAAGAAAAATGCACCATATTCGCTGAGTTCCAGATTGATGCATTTACGGATATAGCGAATGAGTCTGTTGAGCCATTTGCTTTGAGCTTATCAGCTGATACTATTGGTTGAATTTGTTTCTTCAAGTGAAAGGATTTTACTTTCTACGTACAGATTGTAAACAGAAAGAAAACGTATTGATTTTATTGATTAAGGCGGTAAAATTAGTGAATACATTTAATCAATTTGCTGAAAACAGATACATATTCATAAGGCATAGGAAATATCTCTATAACTGTTGGAAAAATTATGGCTGGGAACCTTACAAAAGAGATTAACCCCATTGTATTTGATTCTACAGATCTTGGTTATGTGATGTTTGGTTTCATGACACTCTCAAAGATAGATACTAGAATATAAGAATTTCTCAAGATATCATGGGTCCAGTAGAGAGTTGATCAGTATTACAGTTTTCATCTTTGAAGAACCATAACCAAATTAGAAAGTGATGACAGTACAAATCGATGGAAAAAATTGCACATTAATTAAAATATATACAAATTTCACATACTTATTTCCCCCATTGTTGTTCTTGCTTTATTTAAATAATGCAAGAACAGTAGTTTGTGCAGAATGAGATGATATCATCAATTATTTTGTTGGCTTCTCATCAGCTGCTCACAGCCCAAATGAATTATTAAAATTATGTACAGAAGTTTTAACATACTTGCAAATTTTACATGATGTCAGTTGACAAGAAGTTAAAATTTTAGTGAACAATGCTCATGAAATTATGCTTAAATAGTTTTTACACAGGAAGTTTAGGTTTTTAAAAAGTAAATATATGCATACAGTGGTAAAGGAATCACGCGATAATGACGAAAGGTGCATGAGATGATGAGTAACCAATAAAATGAGTAACAATGTACTGAGTTCAACTGAAACCATAGAAACAAGAGACAAGCAAAGTTTCACTGTATGAAAGCGAGGAATGTGATTAAAACCAAGGACTACGTAATTTAATGAAAGAGAAGAGAAAGGTTTTCAGTTACCAGGGCAAGGAAATACTGATAACTCCTTTTTTTCTGAATACCTAATTCGGGTTTCAAACGTTTGATAGAGATTGCTCCGGCAAACTTGAGAAGAAGTAAGCTATTTTGTCTATTATTGATTTAGGTGGATTTTGTGGTTTCTGTCTCATGTGTCGAATCAATGAGAGGTCTGGTGATGACACTATTGGAAAAACTTGTTCTCTCGAGACATAGGCTTTTTGGTACATGTTGAGAAAGTCAGAGGTGTGACCTTTTTATTCTCTCAATGTAATTACTCCCACAGATTTATGTGAATTCGTATACGCATTTGGAGTTAACATCAGAAAACACAAATTTAGCAGAAATCACTCTTCAGTTAGGAGCACTGAACAAACTACATTGTAAAACACCTCAGTTATTCTTCTTGATTAATGTAAGGTTTCATGGTAATGATAGCTGTCAGTTCAGTATTTAAAAGATTATGAGGGCTGACACCTGTTTGTGCGGTCGATTTCCTCTTTCTCCCTCACTTCGCGTGTTCTAAGTGCAACAAGCCGAGAAATCTCAGTAGTGATGTACTAATTTTTAGAGGCTGCGACTGTGAGCCTCATGTCAGATATACTTTTTTTCAAACTTAATACCAGGATGGAAAAATTTGTAAGATTTAGGAAAGCTTCGATTGGGAATCGAACCCGGACCACTTCAATGACTGGAAAGGATCCGGCCATTGTAGCGCCAGCGCTAATTGAATGGTGATCGCCATACACATTCACATATAACCTTGACAGTAACTTCTAAATGAGCCATTGATTCTCAGAATCCCGAGGATGCCAATCAATTCAGACGAGCTAGATCTCCCAACATGACTGAAATCCGCATTCAGAAACTTTATGGTGTGACCACCCTTAACCTTTTGTGTTACCCATCTGATACTATGTAAGGTAACACTGATCCATTAGGAAGGTGATGTTTTTACAGACGTAACCCATATTCTATCCATCTTATTCGATGCAGCTTAACAACCTCATCGATTGACTTCCTCTTGCTACTTAGCACTTCACACCTAACTTCAATAGTATATACCATATTCAAGCGCGTGACACGAAATCTTGAACGTAGGCATCTGCGGTCAAAGACGATTAGACGCTTTGTATCTTTCATCTTCAATGACCGCGTTTCACAGTCACAAAGAAGGACAAAGCGAATAGCGATTCCGTAGATACACAATGGGATAAAAAGCGATACAAAAAGAATACACAAAATGTCGATAAATTTAGATCAGTGCAATTATGATTAGAAAACTTTCATAGCCACCACCTGGTAAAATATAAAACAATAGGTTAATGTTTTCATTTGTTTGTGCAAAGAAACATTGAAATCCATGTTCTTAGAAACAGTACGAAGAAAGGAAGACACAAGAAACTTTGTCCGAAAACATATTTTTCCTAGCGAATGAACTGCAAGATACTTCCTGTCAACCGATTCGGACTTTGCAAAACACGTTTTGGAATATTTATGAAAATATCATGAACATAACACATTCTGTTTGCTATCAATCGACGTCATCATCCTTTTCAAGTAATTCAAAATAACAAACTTTATCTAAGGCTTAATAGAACAACTCGTTTAAAACACAATGCTGAGGAAGTATTTGTAGTCAAAGTGAATACACCCCTTCTCAAGAGTAAAACTGGAAAAAAGACTTTCTCTTAAAATATCCTACCATCTATTGGCACACGTAGTAATACTTACATTGTCTGCTGCTTGTTGTCCATCTACGAGATTTAAATTTTGACGTCCACTTTTGATAACTACCAACTGCCAAAAATAAGCAAGCACATTTTGAACTCGGTGTTGAAAGCTGTTTTTAAGAGAAAAGAAAATGTCACCGTTTTAGTAATAATTACATAATTACTTTAAAAAACTCAAAGTAAAGCAAGAGTTTTTAGTGTAATTATGTGATTAAAATAATGGTGGCCTAATTTAACTGACCTGATACTAGACCATTTAAGCTACTATTGAGAATCTAGTCACAGTTCAGTTGCATTTTAATATTGCTCATATATCTTCAGTCACTCATTTAATGTGACACATGTCGATGATTTTTTATTGACAGCAACAAATCCACTCTGAAAAAGGGACTATAGAAGATTAACCTGATTAAATCATTAGCATTGAATTGCTGTGTTGATTATTTGAACTAGCGATCACGTATGGCAGTAATACTTCAGTAGCTTATAATGCCTTTCACACTTATTTTTCAGTTTTCATCAATATCTTAGTAATTTGAAAAAAGGTTACTGTGTAGACAGCAGGTTGTTCGATCTACACCAGTAATTGTTTGATAACACTCAAAGAAACATGTCACACTTTAGTCTGCATTTCACGTCAATTTATCCCTTTCACAAATTTTATCAGTTGAAAATAATTACAAATTTTTAAGAAATCTATTCTTTTTGTTTTATGTCTAAAAAAATTATAGAATGAACTTAAAAAAGAATTTAGGGTTAACATGATTAATACATTATGAAAGATTTGCCCTAACTTGTGAAACAATGAAACAGATCAGTGAACAATAGGATAAAAGTTGATCGATCGAATAAAGACCCAATTACTTATGATTATATTATTAAGAGACAAGTTCAGAATAAACAAGTTGGATTTTTACACTCATATTTCATCAATTACAGATTATTAAAATCCCAAAATTAGTGATATACTATGTCAGTCAATATATACACCGGTTCATTCAACTGCAAATATTATGCAAAAAGAGACAGAGTATGTGTGTGAGAACGAGTGGAGAAAAATGTAATTCAAGTCAATGGAAGGACTGGGTTTTTTTAATTCCTTTACGTTCCTAGTGAAACATAGGGCTTCAAGCGAGGGAATTGAAGTTCCGATAGCAGTGATGTCTATTTTTATGGGATAGGGTTACTAGCATCATGCCCAATCTTTCCTCCTTACCAGTCTTATTGCTGGCTTATCGATGTAAAGGGGCGAGCTGGAGGCCAAGAATCGAACCCCAAACCATATGCATGGTTGGCGAGTATTCTATAGATGTGCCACTGATATATTGGTCAAATAAATGATATTTGTGAGACCCAAATCGTAGTTTATTTTACGTGGACATTATTTATATATATATATATATATATATATATAGTTAATTTCTCTTAAGAAAACTTATCTTAGAGGTACTAACATTTACAGACTTAGGCATTCGTACATTGTTCATTGAAGCAGGACGAAAAGTGCTTCTTATTTCTTATATTTATAAAGTTCACATATATTTTATAACGAATATTGAGCTATTTACACTACAGACATACTAAACTCAAATAAAATGATTTGCCGCTTTGCTTTTCACGTTCAACACCCTGTGCCTTGAGAAAAGAGTAATTATACCACTTCCAAATAAGTCATGATTTCCTACTGTGCAGGCGAACTATCTGCATTACTTTAGAAATGCTCATAGGTGGTAAGTAAATTTAGTGTCTTTAAGCAGGAACAGAAGATTACAATTATGTCACGAAGATATGTTAGCTCAGATTTATGTATAAGAACATGTTTCTTTAATGCTATTCTATGGAATTTTCACTATAAGTGTGTAAAACAAGAATATAACAGTAATATAGAAGTGCAAAGATATATAACTAATCAAGTGAAACATCAACTAATGAATACTGTTAAACGGATAAACTTAAAACTCATGAAAAGAATACTTATCTAAAGAATTAACATAAAAAAGTACTTCCTAAAATTCTCCACTTCTATCCACAATGATTCCAAAATGGCTGCTGATTATAGCTGTAAAAATTATTATTAGTGATTAATAATAATAAGGAAAAAGAAGTATTAAGAATTCTCACAATTTATCACCAGTAACATAGGCAGAAATGCAAACAGAACGCGTCCATGATTCTGAAGGCATCTTCCAGTCGATTTTATTCTCCAAATATAGTCTCATCTCCAAATGACCTACAGGAAAAGAATAAAATATATTAGCACATAATATAATACCGATTTTCTGAGCATGTAGAATAAAAGGCCTATATTTTTCAAGGAAACAAATGCCTTCAACAAATCTAATACCAAGCATGTCGTTAATACAGGCCATAAGGTGGACATCATTAAAATCCCTCAAAATTAACAGTAGACAATACATTTCATTACTCTTCATGCCTGCTGTAGCGATTGCTATCAGGCGTTTGAAACCTGATTCAAATGTTCAGAAAGAATCAGTTCCTAGCTCTGACAACCCGATGTCTTTACAGTCTGTCGTAGTTGACTACGTAATCTCTACCTTTAACCTCTTCGTCTTTCACTATGAGGTAACATTGCTTGCCTTTTTTTATTTCTGGTATTTGATCTGAACCTACTACATTGCTATGCAACTCATCAGTTTATGCACCACTTGTCTTTACGATGCAACTCCTTCTTGAATGCATATAAACATTTATAGATTTTGGTTTTAGTTCGTTGAAAGCTTGAGCTTTCTGTGTATGTTAAATAAGTAAAATTTCTGAGCACTTTGTATTAATTTTGAAGTATCCTGTTAAATGACATTATTTTACACTCGTAAATACCTTTAAACTGTTCTGTACATAAACTAAATTAATTATATTTTATGTTGCAGCCAATGAGAAGGCAAGGAAATAAACGGCGGTACAGTCTTATTCTGCAAAGACCTTTGTCTCTACCTTATCTAGATATATGGGATTATAATTATTTTGCTCCTATCCATAATGATTACTACCGCTAAACTAGTAGACAACATAATCTAAAGAATAAACCTCTCATTTGTAGAGAAACCAACAGGCCAGTTTATTCTTGAAATGCTATACAATAGAAAAAATTCAATGCACCAGTCACTGGAGAATAACCAAATTTGATGCCTTTTTCCGAGGATTAAATGAAATTTGTCATCAGTACTATTCACATAAGTAATGCGAAAAATTCATTATTATTTAAGAGAAGATGATTCATTAAATCTTTCCAAGTCATCTTAAAATTCATAAGTAAGCATTTATTGACAAAAAAATGGACAAAGTCTCACTAACTTGATGTAGTGTGATTTTCTATAATAAATTTATTCAAACTGATAAATTTTAACTTTATTTGAGGTTATATTTGTTGTCTTCTACCTTTAAGTCATTATCAATGTCACCTTTTTTCTGTAACGGTTGTTACAAGCCCGTGCTTCATCTTATCACTTCAATAAACATAACCTTTGACATTTCTCAACGACTACGAATAGTATTTATCCTCTCTTATACTAGCCCAGTGTCCATAACTGAAAAAACATTCTTTTGATGTTTACATTTTGACCACAGATTGGAACCTGCTAGAGAACCATTGACGACCAGGGAGTACTGGACAGTCAGCTGTTTCATCCTAGTTTAGGACAATAGTTCAAACCCAAAACCTTCCGGTTACAAGGCAAGCTCTTAGAGCATTCAGACAATGGGAACCGACTCAATGGCCCATGGATTCCCACATCTATTCATTCGTGGATTTTGGTACTACCATCACTTTTCACCTTTTTTATGGTCTTCTAACAGATGTGAGTCCGTGGTCAAAATTGGAAAATAGATAAAATCCCCACAAATCAACTCTTGAAAAATTCTTTTCGTAGTAATATATATGTGGGTGAATAGGCTTCATAATGGTAATTCCATAATTATATTTTCATGCAGTAGCTAGGTACAAGTTGAATGCAGTTAAATGAATGGCAAAAAAGAAAAATAACTAGTTATTTTCAACTGAAATTTAAGTGTATACATAGTGAATTATAGTGTAGCATAACATGAGTAAAGAACAAAATATAAAAGTTGCAAGGGAGTGAAATACAATCATCAGTAAAATGCAAGTACAACAATAAAAAGATAGGACATTTGTTATAACATTTACTGTAAATTACTGTACTAGCAACATTTTAAGGTATCAATGTGAAACGCAAATGATTTGGTATAGTTCACTGATATTTTTTCACATATATATATGCTTATATTAAAATACATACTGAAAGAATAGAAATACTATATCATCAAGCGTTAGTTTACAGGAGCTTGATTGGTTACAGGTTAGGTCACGAGTTGACATCCGTTATAGAACCTCTGGGAAACCACCAAGTACTAAACAGCTATTTCGTTCCGGTTGAGGACTCTTCAGTAGCACGCGCCCGCTAAAGTTCCAAGCCAGGAACTTGCAGTTATAAGGCGAGCTTATAGACCATTCAGTCACTGGGACCTAACCCAATGGCCAGTATGCGATATTAATAGCGCAGCCGGCAGCTTATGTCACTGGCGAGTAGCTGATCTCTTAATTGATTTAGTGGTTACTACTAATCACTAAAACACTTGGTAACTACCCGCGTGGAGGCAGCTACCAGTGAGCATCAATTACATTATCAGGGAAATAACAAATTACCAAGACAATGCAATTTGATTTACAAAGTCTACGTGTACGCATAAATTAGGTTTTGATTGACAGATTGCTTTTGCTTCTGAATTATTTATGAATCTTCTATTAGTCTTTTTATTTATCACATGAGAAAGTATGGTTAAATTCATGGTACGGGTTGTATCTAGGATATGTCTTATCAGCAGCGCTTCTAAGGATTCTTGAATCTTTCAATTATAAATTCTTTAATAAATTTTCGGAGATTCATTAACCAAGAGTAGTCGCCTGTCTTTGAAATACTTTTAAGTGGAGTGAAGTCAACAGATGCGGCTGAAGGTAGCATGAAACTGTCTCACATTAATACTTGTTTGTCTGAGAGTCATCTTTGAGTGGTAGACTACCAGCAATCACCAGCAGAAAAATTAAGCACGATATATGCATTCAGTTCGCGATTGTTTCTCAAATGGTTTCATTCTCTTCAAACTGCAATCAAGTGAAAATATTTTTGTTTTGTCATAGCTTTGAACAGTTTCTCAAAGAAGTTTCAGTTATTCAAGGACGTCTTAGAATCTTATTAACTAATTCTGTGATCAGATTTTCAGAGCACAATCTAGGCTACACTTCGTCTACCTGCAAAAGGACATAAACCACTAAACTGAAAATATTATCCGATATAGTCAAAGCACGCCAGCCATAAACCTGGTCAAGATTCTATTCCTGACCGATGCATCCCTAAACTTCGCTTAGTTTACCAGCCAGTAATAGATTTAAAAACGGGCAAAGCTGTGTAGAAGGCTATCGGTTTCATTGCCTGAAAACAACACAAGCGCTGAATTTTCAAAGACTTAAGGTCCCTGTTCCTTTCAAAATAAAACAAATGAGCAAAAACCGGGGCATGATCCACTTCACATGCCAACATTCAAAAGTCTTATTCCGTTCGACATCTTATGTTCACTTGTGGATTTCATATTTTCAAGTATTGGTTTTGTAGGGATTTTGTTTAATTGGGCCATTGGATCGGATCCCAGTGTCTTAATGGTCTACAAACTCACCTTTTAACCAGAAGGTCATCGGTTCGAACCCCCTGTGGTAAGTGCGTAGTGTGAGAAGTCCCAAGCTAGGATAAAACAGCTGGCTGTCTAGTACATCCGAAGGTTTTCTAATGGTTCTCTAACTGATGTCAGCTCATGGTGAACTCCTCCCCATGATTTCCCATTTGGCCGAAATTTAATAAACAGATTTAGCAAATTCTTCAGAAAAATTTCACTCTCACTAATCACGAATTCATCATATGTGTATTTTTGGTGCAATTTTAACTGTTACACGGGATCACTTAGTCCGATATTCTTTTAGTGAGCTAGAAATATTTTCGTGAATTTCATCAACTTTTACATTGAAAGAGTGAGTTGTTATGCATATAAAACATGAATCTGCCATCAAACTGGAAGGAAGGTGAAGATTTGTCAAGATTTAGTAAAATCTTCCCACAGTGGACAGCTGTAGATATGTGTGTCATATCAGGTCATAAGCACGGTGTTATACTGTACCGCTGTGCTACTGTTTTACGCCTAAGTTATTCCTTCTGCACCTTAACAACTACTTTCAGTACTTGTATTTTTATGACATAGTCGTTTAGAGATGGGCGACCGGATTATATCAGTTTAAATAATTTCGTAAATTTCTTCATTTATAAACTCATTTCAATAAACTCAAAAATTAGTATTTATATAACTTTATAACGTGCAAGTCATTATGATTTCTATGTTTCAAATCGGTTTCATATAAAAGTATGAACTCTTTGTTTCACACTACGTAACAATAACCCATAGCTTTCTGATATAATGGATAGGTTTTGTGATAACTGAGACTACTTCACGTTTATCTTTAGTCCACACAGATGTATCTGGATACATGTAGCAGTAACAGAACAGTTACTGATACATATGAAAATAATTATGAAGTGAAAGGTAATGACAGAAACAGTACACTTGGTTTGTATTTCACTCCAATATATTAATGAAATAAGCCATTTTTAACAACTTACCTTTAATGAATAAAATTTCACTTTCCATGCATGGATTGTTCGATGGAAGTTTTTCGGTTATATTTTGTATACAACAGAGAAGTGTATGAGCTTCCTCGTAAATTTCAACAGAACTAGACTGTAATAGACATAATGCTCTGAAAAAACATAACAAATTAAAGAAAACGTGGTATTTAAACCTTCCATTATCTAAAAGAATAGGTTATGACTACGAAATTATGAATTATAATTAGTTTTATTTTCAATCACAAACTGCATGGTTGGCCGAAAATTTTCCGTCTTTCATGGTAATTTACCATCTAATTTTGATTTGATCGTTGATTCATTCCTTTTAACAATATGGATTTCAGAAAGAAGTGTTTTCAAGTCAATTCAAGGCAGAATTGACAAAAATAAGTATACTGGATCAATTGTGAAACGCATTATTTAAACAAAGAGTTTTGACAAGTAAAAATCAACCAGGGAATTCTAAATGATTAGGAGATTTATCTGGAAACTTCAATATGGAGTTGAATATCCTCACTCATTTCAAAAATCTACCTGATAAATATTGAAGGTTTTGATAAAATATCGGCATAGTTACCTAAAATAGAGTGTGTCCATCCATTGAAATTTATGAAGTAGTCATCCTGCACACCACAGTGTTGCATTGATTCCATTTTCAGGAATGGGCTACATTTATCCACCATTTTAATCTTAAAAGCATTATGAAAAACTTGACAGTCGGAAAGTTTCGTTACAACAATCCAAAAGATATACTAGAAAGTTGTAATCTGGACGTCATCTTTAGAATAAGTTTCTCCTTGATAATTTGCAAGAAATATCGTTTTGTTGGCATTTTTCCATGAATCAGAGGATGACAAAAAACATTCACCTTATATTTTCCAGTACAATATTTATACACTAGCGCCTGTATTTCCCTTAAATATATCCTCTCTCTAAACTGAAAGGCTTCGTCATCTGTGTTCTCTTAGTAATGTCAGAACAGAATTCAAGTAATCAGCATTTTTTGTTGTTTGTAGGATTATTGCAGTTTCTTATTCTCTGCTTCTACTGATGTTCAAATTGAGTACTACTCTATCACCATATTTTTGAAAAAGGCATCCACTGAAGTTTAAACTTCAATTTTAGATAACTTTCATGTTACATATTTGAATAGAATAAAATGCCAACGAAATGTTCATATAATAACAAATACAATAACCACGACGTTGAAACTGTAACATTAATAACTGGTACAATAAAAATCCCCTTTAAAATTTCAGTAAAACTGCTTGTCGTGTAATTGCACTAAACGTTTACAACAAAAGTGTTATATAAGAAATTAAAATTAGACGGAGATATAACACTAGGTGTTTATCTTTTGACGACTCATGGAAAATTTTTATGAAGTCATCAAATAATGTGAGACCTTCTCAATAATCGCTTAACTTATTATCCGTAACAGGTAGTGAAAAAAGCTTGATTTTTAGATATGAACACCCCTCCGATTACCATAGACAGATAACTTGTGCATAAAGCATAAATATATGTATATCTACTTGATGTTTAGGGTCTTCAGAGGTGTTGTCAAACATTTCTTACTAGTTTTTTGAAAATAATCCAGCATACAGAAAACAAGTATTGCCCTAAGCAAAATTTAAACTTTGTCGGCTTGTGAGAAACTTTCAAACCGGATACAGGTTTACGCTACAACTATTTCAAGCAGTTCAATTTTTCAGCATATATTTCTCTTTCCTTTTCTCTGAAAAAATATTTAAAATCCGAATTTCTTTTAGCATATATTCATATTAATGGCACACTGATATCTTGTCTTCAAAATGACCCAATTGACAAGTTTACACAAAGTTTAGATCAAAATTTCCACAACATGTCTTTATGGTATAAAAGCAGAAAAGTGATAAATAGCTAAGGGAATTTTAAGCGTGTAGGTCATGAACAAACTAAAACTCAAAGCAGCAGAAAGAAAATAACAAAATATTTTACATCTGACCTAATTCTGTTTACAAATTTAAATAATTTGTAGCATATTTCAAGAATCATATACATATTGCTTTTCACGTGATTTACTTCAAAAACGACTTGATGTTTGTCATATATCCTTACTTTACTGAAGTAGTTCATTCAACGCTTTATAAACGCATTTGCTTATATTTATTTGTTGTACACTTATATGAAGTATTACTTACTGAAAATAGGGATTCGAGCAGTAAAGCCTCATACTTCGACAGTGCAGTCTAATTACAATAGCTGGTGAGAAACTACGAAAGATTTTATGGAGAAATCAAGTATCAGTAAGCCTTTGTTTTCAGTAAATGCTTGAACATCAACCATAAAATTCATTGACTATTTGGTGGTTAATTGGTGTATGTTGACTATCAGTGGAATCAAGGTTGGCGCATTTTGTCCTATTTGGGACCCGTCATCTGGATGTACCTGCATTTCCAAGTGAGTGGTGATGTTCCCACCGAGGCTCGAACCCAGTGCCCATAGTTTCAAACGCCAAAGCGTTATCCACTACATCACTTAAGCCATTACAGCTACCTCTTGTGCAACGGGTCATATTAATTTAAGTGAATGGTGTGTGACGCTTGGGCGTTAGAAACTATGGGCACTGGGTTCGAGCCTCGGTGGGAACATCACCACTCACTGGGAAATGCAGGTACATCCAGCTGGCGAATCCCAAATAGCACGAAATCCGCATATTGGATTCCAAAGCTAGTCCCCATAGACAAATTCAGTTCTGATTGAATACCCAGACATCATCGAAGCATCTGGACAAGAAGCCGACATGTCAACCTGAGACTGAGCACTTCGGTCCAATCAATCGACCGGAAAGTCCAAAATCCAGTTAAAGTATTTGGTGTTTACATATAAGAGAGAACTGAATGTGATATTTATGTAATTTGATTTGATTGAATGCTGAAGACCATATTATTTCAACCTACTGTATGATCCATAAACATTATATCAAGAAGCTAGAAGGGTTAATACTTTAATCTTAGCAGATGAACTTAAAGAAAATTAAGTAAAGGATGTCAAAAACTAAAAAAGTCGTAATTTTATCATATCACAATTCATCATAAACCTATTCAGTTGTATAAGAGTGGGTAAAGTGCACGAATATGTTACCGAATGAATATTGTTTGATGGATTGCCTCACTTGCAATAAGCATTTGTGTCGCCGGTGGCACAGTGGTTAGGACTCTTGCCGATCATGCACATGGTTCGGGGTTCGATCCCCTGCCGACGCACACCTGATATCTATGAGCAGCCTGAAAAATTTGGGCTACTGATATCACATGCTGAAAATTCCGTACCTGTACCAGAAATACGGTGTGAAATCAAGCTGTTATCAAAAAATAAAAATAAAATATAATTTCAGCTCAGTTTCAGATAATGAAGCCTGTTATTGAACTTATCACATATATCAGACAATAAATATTCAGACATGATGCTGATAATGTGCTTATATGGGACCGGAACAATGTTCCCGCAGGAGGGCAGTAGTAGCACCAGGAGAAAAAGAACGTCCCAATTTGATAAAAGTATGCCGGAGGTATATACAGAAGTATAAATTTTAGCTTCTTCTTAGATTGCGTTAAAGAGAAAAGTAATTAGTTTTATGTGATAAAAACGCTTAGAAAATCCAAACAAGTGCTTCAGCGAAGAGACTCTTTTCAATGAACTTATCATCAAGCTGTACAATCGTATATATATATATATATATAGGGTTTTTAAGAAGTTATATCCGATGAGGGAATTGAATCATAGGTGTGAATGCATAAAACAATAATAATAGTAGTATGGAATGCAGTTAAAATATTTGTGACTATAATCATAGTTAAATGTCAAGTGGCAAAACAATTAATGTCATTTATAGAATAATTCATAGGATGTATAGAACTTGGAAGGGGTGTGCAGTTATAGGATTAATAGGGAAATCGAATAAAATGAAGAAACATTCGTTCAACCCCTCTAACTTTCATGGTGTTCATCCCTCCATGCTAAGTATGGCAATGCCTAATGATATTTTGGCTCTACCAATTTTTTTTCATTTTGTCTATTCAGTTTGTATGCTCTTCATTTAATACATGTATGGTTACTATTATTGTTCCCACTTTGAATTGTCCCCGGTATTATTTCACTTGTTCAACTTATCATTCTTAATTAATTGTGTTTTGCAACGTTAAATTTTATGTTATCAAATTTCACAGAGTATTACTTAACGCTTTTATTTTATTCAATTTGCTTACTAATCCTATAATTGCACACCCCTTCCAAGTTCTATACATCCTATGAATTATTCTATAAATGACATTAATTGTTTTGCCACTTGACATTTAACTATGATTATAGTCACAAATATTTTAACTGCATTCCATACTACTATTATTATTATTTTATGCATTCACACCTATGATTCAATTCCCTCATCGGATATAACTTCTTAAAAACCCTATATATATATATATATATATATTATATATATATATATACGATTGTACAGCTTGATGATAAATTCATTGAAAAGAGTCACTTCGCTGAACTACTTGTTATGATTTTCTACATGTTACGATTTTTCCATGAGTTGTAAAACGCTTAGCATGCAATCTCTCATTATACACTGTTTTCATTATCATTAAGATTTAATGAATCAGTATTTGTCAGCAAAAATTTTCGTCAGTGTTAAAATGAACCAAATAGTCACGAACTCTTTAGCAAACACATATAGCCATATTCGTTTATTAAACTAACCTGGAATTATCAAACTTTTCATATTTTGCAGAACTTGCTTCTAAACGCGTCGGATGAAAGTATTTCATATCACCGAAAGATAAGAGAATCATTGCTATTCTCAGGCCAACTTGAATAAAGTGTTTCCAAATTTTACAAAGAGGCAGTCTGACTTGTGACACGTTAAACTGAAGCATTGATTTTCGACAGATGTTTTCTCCACATTTTCGTAACTACATTATAATATCGTGTATAAATGATAGAAATTTAGGCTTAATATATTATAAGGAAGATATGCATACATTTAGTGACAGTGCAGTTTATGCTGTACAGCTTTTGCCTATTTTTTCGTCATTTGACGTGCTGGAGTATGGATTGTTAAGGTTACAGGTGGAAAAATGTCCACATATGGCGGGGTTATAAATAGGTCGCTTAGATTATACTCGTCATTTATGTAGACGTTGTGAGTCAGTAAGTTACATAAATTGAAGAACTTTATATAGTTACAAAACATCGAAGTTGTCAAATGGGGAAATCACTGTACCCTGAATTCTAACTAATCAAATTAAAGAATGTGCGCAACACAGTTAACACCAACGCCTCATACATTTCCTTTGTTAATTATAAAACGTTTCAAGCATTGGTCTTGAAGGGATTTTGTTTGATTATATGGAGGATTTCAGCATGAGCTGACATAAGTTAGAAGACCACTAAAAAACCTGGGAGTACTGGACAGCTGTTTCGTCCCAGTTTGGGACTCTTCAGTAGTACGCATCCACTGGGGTTCGAACCCAGGACCTTCTGGTTACAAGGCGAGCTCGTAGACCATTGAGCCATTGGGACCCGATTCAATAGTTCTTGAATTCTAACTTCTGCCAATTCACAACATGGCGCGACCATTTCGCAATGTCTTCTTCGATGAGTTACTACCTCATCTTCGACCTGCTGTACCCTTCTGGTCACGGCTTCTCACTAGAACCCCAGTTTAACTGCCTGACTTGGGCCAGTAGCTAGTGAGCATCAGATTAATTTTCAAGTATTGGTTTTGTAGGGGTTTTATTTGATTGTATGGAGGTTCTAGTGAGAAGCCGTGACCAGAAGGGTACAGTAGGTTGAAGATGAGGCAGCAACTCATCGAAGAAGACATTGCGAAATTGTGGCGCTGTGTCGTGAATTGGCAGAAGTTAGAATTCAAGAACTATTGAATCGGGTCCCAATGGCTCAATGGTCTACGAGCTCGCCTTGTAACCAGAAGGTCCTGGGTTCGAACCCCAGTGGATGCGTACTACTGAAGAGTCCCAAACTGGGACGAAACAGCTGTCCAGTACTCCCAGGTTTTTAGTGGTCTTCTAACTTATGTCAGCTCATGCTGAAATCCTCCATACATTTATAAAGGTGTCTGTAAGTAATACAGATGAACTGCCTCGTAACTTCTGATGAAAGTTCAAACGTCTCTTAAGTAGCCAGTACAATGAAAGTACAAAATACTTCTATTATGAATAATTCTGTAACCCTTAAATTATTTTAGAGGTTTTACAGTTTATTCTCACATTATTTGTAAGGATAGAAAATTTAATAAGATTATTTCGTGGCTTTTTAACGTATTTTGGAATTTTTCCTATATTAAAAGTAGAGTCAAACTAAAAATTTAATTGAAGGATATTATGAGACGATAAGATTATAGTTATTTCTTTTTTGTACATCAATTTATTACAGATTAATTTTTCGCTTTGATTAACTGAGATGCCTCAGGTAAAGCAGGAATACTAATTATGCCTTTTTTTGAAGCTGCCAGCATTCTGCTCGATACACAAAAGTTTTGGATCGGTATTACGCAAAAAATAGTGATGAACGTCTAAAAAATTTATCCATCTCATTTATGTATTCACTCTAAATAGAAGCCGAAATGTCAACCCGAGACCGAGCACTTCGGTCCAATCAATCGACGGGAAAATCTAAAATTCAACTGAATAATTAATATTATCCGTTGCACAAGAGGTGGCTCTTGTGGCTCAAGTGGTCTAGTGGATAATGCTTTGGCGTTTGAAACTATGGGCACTGGGTTCAAGCCTCGGTGAGAACATCATCACTTACTGGGAAATGCAGGTACATCCAGATGACGGGTCCCAAATAGGACAAAATGCGCATTCTGGATTCCAGTGCTATTTACCATCCACCAATTAAAAAAATAATTTTTATTATTACATTTAAAACGAAATGTTGATTCCAGGTCCTAGTCTTTAGTAATAACTAAGAAATGAGACTTCATTCTGGTATCAGTTTTATTTGATTTGTCTAAGAAGGGTAAATTGTGTTCACGACATCATAAAATATATAAAAATGTTTCACTTTGCGATCCATATGATAAACTAACTAATACGGAATATCATACACCTGGTTCTTTTGATTAGTCTAAACAGTATAAGAACTCATATATATTCACGCACCACACAACAAACGAAGATACGTGTACATACCTTTTCAATCAATATTTCTTGTAAGTCCAAAAGTATATTTAGTCTCTCATCAAAAACACAGTACAGAGTACTGCTCTTCAGTAACATGTTTGACTGGAAATTTTCTTGTATAATTAAGTCATTTTTGAGCAGAATCCCATAGATATGTAAGTCATTTAAGTTCAGTGAAAGATCGTAATCACCTAACTGGTGGGTGAATAAAAAATTAATTTAAAAAAGTATTAAATTAAAATTAAAAAACACAAAATTAAATCCTGACAAACAGTTCCACCAACTTTCCTAAAAACATAAACACATGACACTAAAATTTCAATTAGTTCTGAGAGAAAAAAATAATTATTCAGCCTTCGAGAAGGTAATATGGTTTGCGTATGTTTGGTTGTTTGTGGTCTCACATATAAAGTATACGAAATTGTCTAGCTAAAACAGCCTATTCTGAGAATTGTATCATCACGTGTTTTAGTGAGAAATTCACTCAACATATGCCATCACCATAAAATTAAGCAGCGAAATTTCTACTTGAATACATATTCATGAGATGCTAAGAAGAAATAGTATCATTAACACTTTCAACATAAGTGAAGTGTTCTCATTATATGAGATGCCTATTGCTGTCACTAATATCATAATAATCACGACAGGCTTTGCATGCATGTATGCACACTGCTGGTGATGGAAGACATTCTGACATAAATACTTAGGTTTAACCACAGTATGACGTCAGTTAGGAAATCACAGGAAAACCAGGGAGTACTGGACAACTGTTTCGTTCTAGTTTTGGACTCCTCATCAGTAGGCAACCACTGAGGTTCCAAGACTGGACCTTCCGATTTTAAGGCTATGCCAAAGATGGTTCAGCCACTGGACCTAAATCCAATGGTCTGTGAATTTAAAATTTTACCAGTTAGCGAAAAAAAGGTTTAGCTACGTGTCTAAAGAGAATCCAATGCTGCTTACATGACTGGAAATTTCAAGAAACTAATAAAATGACCTCAACACAATACGGATTATGATGGTAACATTACTTAGCAAAAAATGATTTGTAGGTTAAAAACAGAGATTAGAAGTAAGAGCATTTTCGTAGACACTTTATTATGGACAAATTACTGATATATAAGGTTTATATAACACCTGGATGTTCACAAATTTTATTCCCTTTTTCTCACTGTTCTAAGATTATTTTCTATGAACGAATGATAAACAAACTTGTTTTCCTCCCAAGTGATTATAACGAAAACTTTGATAACCAAGTAGCAACGTGCCCGATTATTTACAGTTTTATTATTTTCCGTAAGCGTAATATTTATTTAATACAGCAATTATGAACTACTTTCTAATGCAGAAGACTCTTAACCATGTTTCCGAAATCGCGATTATTTCCTGAATCTCCTTACCTAATATTCCTCAAAAACTGCTGGTGTCATAAATAAAACTCACTGATATATTGAACAAAAAAGGGGTATATCTTTTTTACTGCTTTGTCTTCAGATTGTTGGAGGCAATCTTGAAGGAACACATATCCCTCGTGAGAGTCGAACCTGTTTCAGACAGAACTTCAGCCAGAGACGTTACCACTGAACCATTCCATCTAATAACAACAATTCAGAGGTCACTGTGAGGTCCAGCCACCTAGCATGGTAACGACATTGAAAACTTGACCGAGTAAATCCAGGCTGAACCAAACGAAGGACTAGACACGTGATACTAGTTCAATATAGTAGCTATTAGCGCTGTTTCCACATATTTATTCAATGCGCCAGGAAATAATATTAAATATGAGTCGATTCATAAGCAAACCATTACGTTGTTTATTTCGCTGAATGTATGCATGGTATGAGAATTGATACGTTTATAACAAATATTACACTATCTTATATTAAACAAAAAAGATACAACGCCATTTATGAAATCTAAAAATATTCTGGCATCTTTACCTATGTTACACTAAGGATATCTCACAAGTATCGTTTTATTGGTTGGCATAATTTTTGTTTAAAGGTAGAAAATGAATTGCATATTCGAAATTTCCTCCAACTTTATTCACAACTGTGAAACAGAAGGTTCCAACCCTCTCTGAGAGAATTATCACTATAGTTTTAATAAGAAATATTGGGTAGGGTATGGTTTCTAAATCAGAATTTGTTTCTCACGCAAGTTTGATCTTCTCGACGATTTATTGGACTGAAATATTCGGCGTCTGTTGATATGCTGGCTCTCAGTTTGGATGCTTCGACGATTTCTAGGAATGAATTTGAAGTATTTCTGTATATCTGGAACTCATTATCTGGATGTGTCTTCACTCTAGATGATGGTCTCAAGTAGGACGAAATGAACATTTGGATTCCCTTCGGCTAGTCACCACCCACCAAATTACTTCAAATTTAAATTATTCCCTATTGTTTTTCTTTCAAATAATTGTTGTACATCCTAGATTCCTGTGTATTTCATATTCAACTGGAAAACTGTTATTATACTTAATGCAAATAAGCACAAGGAAATTTTGTAAAAATTCAAATTGTGATGCATATGTTTTAATAACAACACACTTTTCTGGTCTTATTTAACAAAGAATAATGACAGTAATCATTCAAGTATTTCAGATTAGATGGTTTATTTCTCTGTTCTGTTGAAGTTTATCAGTTTATTTTTATTTGCATTTTGCATTTCCTTTATGTAAACACACAGAGTTGGTATATTCACAGATAACTGCATACACGTCACTTGAAAAAGGTGAAGTAAATTTCTGTTTGTTTTACAAGCAAAGATGTGAGACATTTTGTGTATTTTAGGTAGCTCACTGATTAATCTTATTGTTTTTGAAAGTAGATGTTTGTGAATTATCTTGATTTGTTTGTTATAATAAATAAATAGAGTACGCATAAGAATAAAATATTCAACAGTGTTATGCTTAACTAAGCATTCAATGTTCAATTTATTTTGTTTATATTTTTCCAAATTTTGTAAACAAGTATAAAAACAAATTGTTTGTATAAAAAAACAAGTGTTTTTAGTATAAGTTGAAAAATTGGTGATAAGGTTAATACAAATACAATAGAATTATTAAAAAAAAGAAAAAAGGAAATTTACCAGCATATTTCTGCTTCCCTTGTTCAACGTTCCACTTCGCATGAATACTAACTGACATTTTAATAAGCTAAATTCATTCCAACAATGCTTATACATTTTAGTCTCCAATTCTTCGAATGCCTTATTCAGATTATCGTATTCATTAGGTATTTCGGCATTTTCAGTTTCAGGGAGTTCTGAATATAAAATTACAAAAATTTAAGATTATCTTAAAAGATCTATTAGTTTATATGCATATTGTAATGAATAAGGCCGTACACATAGAAAAGAGCGAGACATTATGTAAATAAAACTGATATAAATTCATAATTGTATGATGATATTTACACCTCTGAAGTTTCAGAGAAGTTAGAAATCTATAGAATGAAAGAAAAAGACAAATCTGAAAGCCTAAAGTTCGCTAAATATTGATGGGATTTAAGGTTTTAATATTCCATATTTTATCCATAATCAATCGTTCTTAAATGGATGACGTTATCAGTTTGGCTTTCAAAAACTCTATCTAATCAGTGCTTAGGCATTAAAATTGACATGGGGTCATTCTGATAAAGAATTCGCCTCATTACTGCTTGAGGTTGTAATAACTGCAGATTTTTCTTTCTTTTAAAGTTACCTCCATTTAAAAATTCAAACAAATATTTTCTTCCACTCTCTTTGCAATATTCTTTGTCAACTCAGTGACATGATTTCAAGGAGTCGATTTGAATGAGGGCATAACGACTAAGCGTATTTCCGTTTGGTTGTAATCGGGAATGATGTAACGATTTCTAGCAGGTTTTCAGGTGTCGAGCTGTTTCGATACATCCAGCGATAAAATCTATACACGTCTTTACTTCACTTAGCCTTGCACTGTGCTTCAGATACTCATTGAGCATCTTCAACGCAAGACGGTTCTCAAATGATTTCAGTAATTTCCTAATTCTCAATTACGCATTTAGAAAAAACAGTAGCAAAATAACAAAATAATCGTCAAAGTTTCAATGACTTTTAACCATTTGATTTCCTCCCAATCAACTGCACCCAAATCTGATTGACTAAAATAATCACTTAATTGATAAAATTTTGATTTAAGAAACTATATATTAGTGTACAGCCGATGATTCGGAACTAATTGAAAGGGGATATATTTAATCACTCCGTCTGTTGTTTTTTCTAAATGCGTAGAAAAATGCCTAGAAAATTACTGAAATCCTCTGAGAATTATTTTGGGTTGAAGATACTCAGTGAGTATCTGAAGTATAGCTCAAGGCTCAGTGAAGCGAAGACGTCTTTATATGTTATCCATGATTGTACTGAAGCAGCCCGCTACCCAAAAACCTGCTACAAATCGTTACGTCGTTTCCCAGTACGATCAAACGCAAAAATATTTTCCGAACGAAGTCTATGTGCTACAGTAGCCCTCTACGTTGAGGATGGTAGTGAAAATGTTTTGATGAAACTAACTCCCAGTGACTCGAGATGACGTTCAAATAAAAAATCGCACACCAAGCTATCGAGTGAAATGCAAATGAGAAACGACAGCTTGAACGTATATGGGTAACAAGCTGAAGAAAGTGTAAAGAGGAAGTGAAAGTTTGTGACCGTTCGTTGAAGATATAATTTTTTGAGGAACAAAAAGGTTCTCAGAACTCAATATTATTAAAATTACGTAATTTATTTATATTTCTAAGTATGGGACGACTAGAAAACGAGAAGTTGTAATAGTAGACTGCTTTGAAATCAGTCTGTGATATGGAATGATGATTTCAAACATATTTTTCAAATAGCTGTGCCTTCATCTTAATTATTGCTTTGGTCATTTCGTTAGAAATTTATTTGAAGATGTAAAGCTTAAAAGGCGATAAATCAAAATAGGTACAGATTGGTTACGGAATAACAGAAGATTACGACAAAGTTAGCAACATAAAAAAAATCAGTTTCAACCTTTATAAGTACTGACTGTACTCATTAGCTGATTATGCCCCTTCATTTATTATGACGATAATAGTGGTAGATGTCATATGGCCATGTTTCTAAGCATCATTACAGTTCAGAGCGAATAAACAAAGAATAATGGTTATTAGACTAAAAGCTCTTAATTATTTGCAGGTTGTCATACTAAATGTTGAAATATCAAATAAGTTAAATAATACGAAAATTCCCTAATCATCTGTTTGCAATATTGATGGTTAGAGCTACTGTTCATCAAAAACCTACTACTTGCTCATATTTTCAGTAATCCTGTCTGCCTTCAGTCAATTTTAACAGCCGGTATACCTAAAATTTTCCACCTTTTAGCTTAGGTGACTTAACACTCCATGACTGCACTGAAAACTCAAGGACCAGATAAATTTAACTGTTTTTTACAGTCAAGTAACATGCCTTTCTGCTTTTTTGAGACATGACAACTGTCGTAAATCAAGGAAATACCGATTCTTCAGCTCAGAAAAATAATGCATCTGTAGTCAAGTTGTTCTAAAAATTCATAACATTACAGATAGGAAAAAATATATGTATATAAACGACAAAATGATTCGGATTTAATCTTCATGTAATGAATATATTTACTCTTTCAGAAGTTGTCTTGTTTGATTCCAAATCTTTCTCAGTACTTAAATTAGTGCATAACTACCCCAGTGACTTGCTAGCAAAAGAAGCCAAAAATAATGCTTTCCCACATGCAAATTTTACATACTCTTTTTGAATAACTGTAGTATCATGTAAGCCACATTGAATATTTCTATGAGATGCAAAAAGATCCGAAATTTTGGCTTCCATTTATGAAACGCAGCTGATAGCCACATGTCATGTTGGCTGACATGAACACAGAGGTGCTTTGTAAAGAGTTGGCTCTAAACAATCAATAAAAACATAATAATTCAAGCGTTCAAGTCGTGACCAACAGGAGAAGCAGGGCGGGTGTGAGGACAAATACTCGCCGATGAAATTAGCTAGGGGTCGCGGTATGTCGTGAACTGGCAGAAGTTTGAATTCAAGGACCATTGGATTGGGTCCCAGTGGCTTAATTGTATACGAGCAAGCCTTGTAACCATGAGATACTCGGTTCGAACTCCGGTGAGTGTACTGATGAAGAGTCCCAAACTAGGACGAAACATCTGTCCAGTACTTCCAGATTTTCCAATGGTTCTGTAACTAATGTCAGCTCATGATGAAATCCTGTAACCAAAGACAACCATCCGATGAAAATTTTGACAGATTTCTACAAACTTATTTAATATTATGTATCATTCCTCGGGCTTCTACTTTTTAGTCATCAACTCATGGAGATGTTATCAAAAGTAGCAATCGAACATTCTTGGTAAATTATTTCAAAAACAGTCAAGGCATTGACTGAGTAATTAGTGATGTCTAACCTGTAAGTAATCTTCCTGTGTCGACTTCGCACATTTGACATCGAGCTAATTCACCTCGGCATTGTAACCAAAGTTTAGCAATTTCTCTTTCGCTCGGTATCTTCTCTGTCAGACTTTCTGAATGACACGATATTTTACGAATATCACTATTATCTAAAAAAACAGATGAAAAAGCACAATCTAAATGACACATCGGAAGATACAGAATCCCACGAAACCACTAAAAAGATTATATTATTAGAAATTAATAATATTTTGGTTTATTAAATTTAGACTATAATAAAGGCAGCTTGTTTATTTGAAGTACATTTATCAAAATGTCCACTCATTTGCCTAACAAAATGGTCAATTCACTCAAACAAATTTAAGCTTAATAGCATTTTAAAAGTTTATTAATATCATTAAGTAATTAAAAGAAAGCCTATCAGTAGATAGTTGATTTTAAAAATAGACAGGGAACCTTTTTTTTACATCTGTCTGAGAACATTATATTTATCGATAATGATTTTACTTACAAATATATATATATATATATTCAAGTATTGGTTTTGTGGGGATATTTTTGTGTGATTGGCTTGAGGACTTCATCGTTAGCTGACATCAGTTAGAGAGCCATTGGAAAACTTCGGAGTACTGGATAGCTGTTTTGTCATAGTCTTGGACTGCTCTTTAGCACTCAACCAACAGGGTTGGAACCCAGGACCTCTCGGTTACAAGGCAAGCTCGTAGACCATTGAGTGTGATGCTCATCAGCCATATTAAGGCAGTGACCAGGGGCTCCAATGGGAAGCCATGACCAGTAGGGTTCAGCAGGTTGAAGGTGAGGTAGTAAATCGTCAAAGAAGATATTGCGAAGTGGCTTCGCTATGCCGTGAATTTGCAGAAGTTAGAATTCATTGGCTGGCCATTGGATTGAGTCACAGTGGCTTAATCGCTTTCGAGCTCGTCTTGAGACCAGGAAACCCTGGGTTCGAATCCTGGTGCTGAGCGCGTACCGACGAAGAGCTCCAAACTGGTACCAAACAGCTGTCCAGTACTCCCGGGTTTTCCAACGGTTCTGTAACTAATGTCAGATCATGATGAAATCCTCCAAGCAATCAAATATGTATACATATGTATATATATACTTCTACCTGGCTAATATTTAGCAGGTTTCTTTACATCAGAATCGCTCAATTGTTTTTCTAGAAAATCACTCCAGTTTTATTCCTACACCTAAGCGACAGAATAGTTCTAAAATATTTGGGCTCCGAGTGAGAAGTAGACATTTGTAAATCATATTTGTAAAATCTTAGCAAAATTGAAACTGGTAATTCCAACATTTAGTTCGTTAATCTAGTCCGAACTTCTTCAGGGATTTTAATCGAAATTAACATAACAGAGGTTTATGTGTAAAAGGAACATCTCTTGTTTTTAAAAAATTTGTCCAATCATGAGTCATAAAACAAGTATCAACAAGTATAATAAACAAAATTGCATGAGCTGTGATCGGAATTTGACCTCAGACTTACAAATATTGGTTTACCTTTGTTAAACACTTTAAATACAGTGTGTATGTGTGTGTGGATAAACAGTTGTAAAACATTTCTTAACGTCTCCATAAGTAGATATATACAGTCGGGAAACTTTGACCAAGTATTATTAATTAGTGATACATATCCACTTTTATTCATTAATCAGGGTTCTCTATGCATCAGCTAACATCACACCTTCATGTCTGTTCAAACTGTTAGTAGTTCGAATTTTATGACGAGACGTATTTTCAAAATGTTGGTATTTAGGATTAGAGTTTAGTTGAAGCACCTTGTCAAACTTATTGCTTTGTCTTCTTTCTGAAAATTGAGCTGCTTTATTCGACCTACTGGAGTTGTCAGGTGATTCAGGTGACTGAAGTTCGGATCAGATTGCCGAACGAAACGTTGGAATTTCTCGTTTCAATCTCGCTGAGATTTTACGAATATAAATTTTTACACATGTTGGAACATGTTCAGTCACAATAGTGGTTGATCGTGAAGTATGTGATTGAATCATTTTACTAAACGACTCAAATTAGCCAGTCATGAATGTAATTATTCTAATCAGAAACTATTGACTGCCATCTTCAAACACTCTCAATCACAGATACTGTTTAATATTTCACTATTCAAATGAACATTTTAAATGATCTAAATTAAGGCTGGGTTACAAAAGGCCTATAACTACCAATACATTTCACTTCCTTTTGGTACACTGACCACTGAGTGATACTGAAAACTGAATTGTTTTCATTACCAATATTTAAGACTTTGGTTATCATTTTAATTAAAATATTTTGAATTGGCATTATATCGATAGTAGTTAAAATGTAAAACAATGAGGTGAGAAAAATCTTTTCAATGAAATGCCTTTCCCTGCATATCATTTATAATAAACATCCATCATGAAACATAATAAAATATGTGGGGGTCGTCAGGTCAAATATGTATTTCACATAGGAAAAGTGGAAGTTAGATTTGAAGTCAAAAGTGAAATTTGTGAATCAGAAAATCCTAACACCGAAATTTCATAGTTTATTGTTTATCTTTTTTAAATTCCTTCACGTTTCCAGTGGAACACAGGACTTCAAGCTAGAGCTATGAAAGTTTGGTAACAGTGATGTTTAATTTTACGGAATGGGGTTGCAAGTCTCATGCCCAATCTTCTCCCTTTACCAGTCTTATCACTGACTGAGAGAGGTAAATTAGTGCGTCAGCGGCCGGGATCGAAACCCAGAGCATATGTGTGGTTGGAGAACATTCTACCATTGTGCCACCGACACACAAGTTTATCATAGCAACCAACTTTATCTTAACTATCTATTTTCACTAGACTTCAAACATAAAAGATTATGAGTTTATTAACCTGTGTACTTGAAAACCTTGAGATGATAAAACTGCGAGTTTGAACAACAAGGTTACGAGTATTATCATTATTATTATTTTAACGTCACTGAATTCAAATGTCCTGTTTTCAGTGCTCATATAGAGAACATGAATACACTTATTACTGTAATAGCATATGATTAATGAATAGGAAATATCTGAACTGGACTCCACTGTTATGTTACAGGAAAACAGCGCTCTAAGAATGTGTGAAATACAACAATGATAAAGGCTGTTTGACAGACATCTGAAAACGATGTATTCGTCACCAGGAATTATCTGATATAATTAACAGTTGACGCTGAAGAATGAAAATGCTGCGATACTCTATTCATCATTATACCTGGTAGTTATAAAGTTCGCTTTAAGTAAATATAATGGTGACTATGCCTTTATTTCCCGAATAAAGTGTGACGCCATTCTGCAAACAACTGAGTAGTTCATAATTCAATAAAAAAATGGACTAATTTCGAAATACTCCACAATCTTCAAATGCAATCACTCACCGAGAGGACTAAATAATTTCTGAATAGAATATAATGTATAAGCCATAAGCAGTGATCCTGAACGTGCTTGATGTCTTGACCTCAATAATTTAGCAAGTAGAAAACTTGCTTCACAACATAATGAAAGAAATGGACAATCCATACTTCGAAAACCTGAAAATGTAAAACCTTTATTAGTTGGAAAGATAAGCACTATTTTAATTCATCCAAGGCCAACACGTTTTTCTAAGAGAGCTCAGTTTCAATGGTTAACATGTATTAAAAAGGAGAGAAAAGATGACTTAATGGAATGTAATCTTGGTTATTGTGTAATCCATGTAAACTAGCACAATAGGGAAATAAATTCTTCGTCATTGATTTTATTGATGACTATATGGCTAAAGCAGTAATTGAATCAGCTTCACTATCTACTTAGATATCTGTCTTGAAGGTTATTATAGTGTTCATGTCCTAAAATAACTGGGACCAGGAATGAAATTACAGTTACTTTCATTATTGGAACAGAATTATTTATGCATACCTTGATGTAAGGCTGAATAACTAATCTAATAAAAAGGGGAGTGATTCTAGGTTTCTGCAACATCGAGAATACTATATCCGGAGTCATTATTTTGTGCAATCTTGTGATGTGACTTTACGTCAACTGCCCTGTATAAATAGCGTTCTGCAGCTCACTGAAATCTATCATCTATGAGAGACAAGCATTAAGACTTTCCGTAATTTCCATTCTATTTGTCTATGCAAGTAAACCTAAAGCGTATCGGTTATGATATGTTACTAACTTGTGTATATATGAATGGCGTTATACACAAACTGTTGTACTTCACTGGTTCATCGGAAGAATGCTGGCCAACAACTCAAGTGATCCAATCTGACTCCCATCCAATACAATCGTATACCTCAGCCAGTTTCCTAGCTGACAGTAAATCCAGAAAAGAGGTTGGGTTAAACATAAGGCTATCAGTCCTACCCCTAATAAACAAAACGATCGATACTAAAACTTCAGAAGATTGAAGCCTCATGTTCTGCCCATAAAGTAAGAGAATGGAAAAAAGGAGAGTCCTGAATTACCTACACATCAAATCTCTAGCCAATAGCCTCACTTGCTTCCTTGAAATCTATATCATACCAAAACAAAATATGACCCCTGCAACAAAATATATAAATTAACAAAATAGAATGACTAAATGAGGTTTTCAGGCACACCATTAAAACAGTCAATGATAAATTGAAAATTAGGACAAATTCTTACAGTTATCATGAATACTGTTAGTTAGTATTTGACAAATGTCAGATGCACAAATGAAAAGTAACTCTTTGACATATGACTGAAAATTGGAATGATTTTTTTGATCGTTAACCTCTGTCTCATAGATAAAATGAACAAACTTTTGAGGGGCTAGCAAAGAAAACAAAATACAAATAAAAATAATATACAATCTATGTACGCCTGTAAAGTTGTTCACATAAATGATAATAAATAACATTGATTGTATATCTGGTTGTCGTCTTCTGACAAAATCGATAGGAAATTTAGACAATTATCTTTAAACATCAAAGCTCCCGCAGATGTTTGGAGTATGCAGGAAACCCCTAAACTGTACTTTCTGTCTGAGAGTATGCATCTGTAGTGTGCGACTGTGAGCATCAAGGGACTTTATACTCATCTACATATAAATATGTAAGGATTTAAAAGCTTTTCTATTAAAATACGACAAAGGGAGATAAACGGAGCAAATACCAGCGAAGCAAATGTGCCGACACTGTTTAAACTCACAAGCCTGAGTGTCTGTAGATAACTGCTTAGTTAAAGTAACAGTATAGCTCACTGTGTCGCACGACTAACATCAGTGAGACATACAGCTATAAACTTAATTGAACGTGATCTGTTGTCGGCCTACTTATCCGTGAATTAATAAATGCATTTGGCTTATAATAAAACTGCTCTAAGAAGAAATACGTCAATACTGTATCACTGCTTTGCCTAATTAAGTTGACCTGTTTGTACATAATTAGTCTTATGTAATTACTGACGGATCCATTCACCTGTTTTTCTCAATAATTCCTATCTTTCAAACTAATAATTGTATAATGGCTGCTTGCTAACGTTTGTAAGCTAACTGTTGATTGGTTATATTGGATAGTTTATTCGTTGTCTACGATCTTGATATCCGTGATTAGTTTTCACGCCTTGGAAATAATAATTTTCAATGATTAACTAAAGCATCACCATTTTACTGGAATTAATTTTGATGTATTATCCAAACGACATATAAATATATACTGTTAGTGGGCCGTTAATAAAGAAAAATGGTAAGGAACATATCAGTTGTTTTCGAAATGTCGACATGAGAACCTCTAAATTATTGCAATCTAGCTAACTGGAGTACCCAGTTGTTCGAAATCCCGAAATTACTGAAAGAAAGTGAAGAGAGTAAAGCTATTCACATTCGTCGGTCAACTTCTTGATCAGTGGCATCTAATAACTTATAACTCAAACTGATGTAATGGCAAATTGAAGTGGAGTTACTTCGTCGTACTTGATACGGAATTTCCTCCATCTGATGCGTTCAGAAATTGCCGAACTGCCGATGGAAAGGCGTTTATATATATATATATACATATAAACGCATGGAAATTACTAAGTGGTCAATGGAATACTATTGAAACCTACAGGAGACTTGATTGTAAAAACTGAGTTCATTTCATTGCATTGTGAATAAAAAACCAATAAAACATCTACACAGTAACAAGTACTATCTATATTATAATTACACTGACAGAATATAAATTGCAGAAACGTACTAGAAAATGTTTTACCTGTAGTCTTAGTTTTCCGACCACTTGATTTTGTCATTTGATTGCCAACAGGATTGTAGGACAGATTTTGAATTCTGCAATAAACAATACAGTACATTAATTACTTTATAAATGACAAATAATTTAAATCAAAACATCCTTATATGAACAGGATATTGATGTATCCTGCTGCGAAACTACGTTTTTCTTGTAAGACCAAATCTCTTCGTTTTGTATATCTTAATGGAACAAGTGCTATGGTGGGCCCAAATACTATCCACGACTACTGTAATGACAATCTAGCTTGGTAAATACTTCTCAACGATTTGGATTTGTACTGTTACAACACAAGTACCGTCATTTTCACCAGAAGATTAAATGATAGTCATTTTGTAGGAATACAAGTCTGTATTTGATTAAAATTAATGTACACTGATTATTTTTATTTCAATGATTATGGCCAATTTTTTCTCGAAAAAATAAAGGCTTTTTATGCTGATAATAAACGAAAATTTCTATTAGACTTTCTATGCATGCATGTTCTATGACAAAGTTAACCGGAATGGATAATAAAATTTCATTCCCTATGACTGTTTTAAAATTTTGCTGGGAAATATAATGAAATATTCATAAAATGTTGTCAGTCTGAAGTAACTAAAGTGTCGATATATTTTAGGGAACAGATTTGTAAATTGTTCACTTTCTAAATTCGCAAAAACACTGTAAACTAAGGGTAATCTACGTTTAATTTACAAGGAGTAACGATGAAACTACTTAACTTTTACTAAAATCATGCCATAATAATCACTTTTATTTATAGAAGTTGATTCTTGAAAGGTGGGTCTGAAACTTGGCCAGTGTGTCACGGAAAACATTTCCAACAGCCTGTTGCAAACTTTCATCAACAGCTGCCACCTTCGCTGGCTCCAAACTGAAGATCAAATGGCCAGAAAGAATAAGCAACAAGAAACTATGGGAACAAGCCAACTAAGAGTAGATCGCTCAACAAATATGCAGGAGAAAGTGAAGATGGATCGGGCATACACTGAGGAGGCCACCGAGTGATATCGTGCGCTAGGCCATCACTCTAGTGGAATCTAAACGGGAAGCAACGAGTGGGTCATGAGTGCCAGGGTGACATGGAGGAGATCGTGTGAGGAAGAGATGAGAGGGTTTGGTTAATCGTGGATCCAGTTAAAAAGGACGGCAGAAAACAGAACAAAGTGAAGATGTGTTGTTGAAGCCCTATATTCCACTCGCAACTCAAGGTAATAAGAATAAAATAATTATTTATGATACTGTGATAGAATGATGCATATAATGTCTCACACTCCTCAACACGACAGAATAATAAACGAAAGAAGATAAAGTGGTAAAAAGTATCTTTTATCACTTTTATATGCTTTTTGTGTTCAATGAAAGCTTTAATTCTAGAAAACACGATACTTTCATTGGTTGCATTTGTAAAGTATTTATCTGTAATCTGTAATGTCTACAACCACTTTAAAAGTAATATTTCTTACTCATTTGGAATTTTCTTTGGTAAATATGATATAGATTGAGCGATTTCATAACAGACCAGTGCACGAACCAGTTGAACTTCACAAAACAACAGGGCACCCCATTTCTCACTTGTCTCATTCGACAATCTGTGTGTCAAAAGAATATTTAAATTCTGCAAAAACAAAGAAAAAGACAAAAAACAACATTCACTGAACATGGGTTAAACACACTCAACAAGTTATAAGACAAATAATTCATAGAGGTGGAAATGAAACTTAATTGTTCACTTAAAATCGACAATTCAGTTAATCTGCAATAAAAGGCATTTATGAAATGAAAAATAGAGTATTTTGTGTATGTTGAGTTAGAGAAAAGATACATTGAAATGTTGAGTATTGAGAATTTAGTCGATTTCAATGTCGATTTCTTCAGAAAATGATAGCAGTTTGAAAAATATTTTTGTTGGTTTTCAATAGTCCTCTAACTGATATAAGGCTTTTAATGAAATCCACCTTGAAAAGTCCATTTCCTCAACACTTTATAAAAGCTGATATCTGTATGGTAGTTTAAAGACAAAAATGATTACAGCTGAAAAGAAACAGTTTTCTCAAAGTCTACATTGCAAATGAAATACTCCTAAGGAATTCTTACTACAATATTCTAGGAAAACAATAAGTTGAAAATTTCTTCTTAAAAGCCGCCGGATCTAAACTGAACGTTTCAAAACACTTCACCTGACTTCAGCTGACGATCTGAAAATATGCTCATGCAGGATATAAGAATGGTGAAGTTAAATCTAATGAGAGTTCCGCTGAAAGTATTTGAAAGAGACAAAGAAACCTATGTGTTAAAGGTAGATTTTATTGTAATAAGTCGCACATTGGAAGAGTTTACAAACAACTCAACTTTTACTTGAGACTTTACGTCGAAAAAATAACTAACGAAGACAGTACTTTGTGTTGACGAGAAGAAATATTTCAGGAGCTCTTTATCCTTTCAAGTGGTCTAGCGGATAACGCTTTGGCGTTCGAAACTATGGGTACTGGGTTCGAGCCTCGGTGGGAACATCATCACTCACTTAGAAATGCAGGTACATTCAGCTGACGAGTCCCAAATAGGGCAAAATGCGCATCCTGGATTCCACTGCTAGTCACCATCCACCAATTGTATCCTAACTAAATGCCCAGACATCGTCGAAGCATCTGCACAAGAAGCCGACATGTCAACCTGAGACCGAGCACTTCGGTCCAATCAATCGACGGGAAAATCAAAAAAAAAATCCAATTCAATAACTAATATAACCCGTTGCACAAGAGGTGGCTCTCGTGGCCCAAGTGGTCTAGTGGATAACGCTTTGGCGTTCGAAACTATGGTACTGGGTTCGAGCCTCGGTGGGAACATCATCACTCACTTAGAAATGCAGGTACATCCAGCTGACGAGTCTCAAATAGGACGAAATGCGCATCCTGGATTCCACTGCTAGTCACCATCCACCAATTGTATCTTTTAGCATAGTTTTAAATGTTAAAGGGCTACGTGAACATTGGACTACCTAAACTTCCATCTGCGTATTGCTTGGCCATCCCATATTCTGTGGATTTCTGAGAAAATGTTCCAATTAACCTTCTACATTAAGAAGTTAGGAAAAACAGGAATCACTCAAACTTTACAGTTTATTGATCCTTAAATCTTAACTGCTGTTCTGTATCGCTCCTCCTAAGTTTTTGCACGGCTACACAAAATGGACAAGTGTAGTCAACAGACACCTTAACTTGTGTAAGATATGGACTAAATCTATATTGTCTGACTCTCAGCAACCTTACTATTTACATATCTCCTCTCGCATCTCATCACGTAGGAACAGATAGAAGTCACTATAAAAGATTACATGCTCGCACAACTAAGTACAGAACTCAACGATGCCCTGTTTGATCCACGTTCTATGTGACAGAGATAGCGTTAAGCGTGAAACCTACAAATTACTATGTAATTAGCAAAACAAATGACTCTTTTATCTTCTATTTGTAACTTATGGTGACACTATTTCAATTATCTTATAATTCTAGTTATTAACATTATTACTGTCAGTATCACTTTACACTTTCTGCACACTTTTCAATTTATCATTACTGTGAGTGTGAAAAAAGTTACTATTATCAATTTTGGTTAACTATACGTTGTATTGCTTTGTTTCTGTTGTTGTTGTTGTCGCTGAGTAAATTAGAAGCAGTATTGCATGAAATGTTGAGAAATCCACACCGTAGCATAAGTACTTTCTTGGAATAAAGCAAGCAATATTATTAAACAAAGCCTTTATCAGGTAATCTAAGCAGCAGACATAAGTTCATAAAAACTTATGTAATTAATTTTTCCTCTTATAAGCTGTTTTGGTGGCGTCATACAGACAATGTGTTCCAATCGAATATTATTCTTACATATTCGCACAGTTCAGTACTACGTTAGCAACATAATACTATGCATTTGAACATTCTATATCATAACAATAATGATTTACTTTATTCCAAAAACAGTACTTGTGATGCAGAATGGAATTTTCGGCATTAGTCACAATATTGCATCTAATTTCCTCAAATTATAAATAAAATTAATCACACAGAAAATTTACCAGATTCACAATAGGGATAATGTCAAAAACATGCAGCATGTAAAATGGAAAAAATAATAATGATAACAGCTAAGGTAATAATAATAATAATACAAGTGAACATTGCCGTGGGCTTGTTTCACACAGTATTGGCAATGTGGTATAGAAATCCTAGCATGTTTAAAAATATTGAATATAATGTTCTCTTTACATGATATGGTGAGGGGAGAAACAAAGATCATAGCGGTCATACAGGTAACTTGATGTTTGCAATTATGAGAGTAAAACAAATAATCAACAAGACCATAAATATAATAGAAATAATAAAAGTAAAACTTGAAGGTATATAAGGATGGATGGAGGAAATTGTTTATTTACCCGATGAAAAAATGTTAGTTAATTCTTCCCTGACACTATTTTCATCACATAAAATACGTTCCAAGTATGGTATCATAGAATTTCAATACTTAGACGTGCGAGCATACAGTTTTCTGAAGTTACTTCTTGTTCTACCTGAGGAGATGCAAGGTGAAAGCTGAGTGTAAAGTGGATTCTCCAAGTCAGACAAAATCCCTCTAGCAAATTTACTGCACGAAGTCAAGTGCCTATCGACAACGACGTTAACTATGTGGTCCACTGGGACACCACTCACCCTACTGACCGTTTTCAGCATTCTACGAATTGTGACTTAAGTCCTGTTTAACCAAACCAGGAAGGAATGAGGGTGAACAATATAGAAGAATAGGTAGGATGCAAGAGTTTATGAACTGTAAGAGGAGGGGTTGAGTTATACCCGAGTGCCTTAACTTCTTAGTGTAAAATGTCAGGCGGAATATTTTACTGGAGATCGCTAAGACATGGGAAGACCAGGAGAGATCAGAAGAGAGAATGAGTCCAAGATAGTTAATTTCTGATTGAATTCCTATATCATTGTCGTCAATCTTGCAACTGTCCTGAGAATCGATGACTTCTTTTAACTGTCGTTTATGTCTTAAGCTGAAATTAACAGTTTGACATTTAGAAGGATTCAGTTTAAGACCGTTAGACTCAAACCATTTGCTGACTTCCGACAGAAAGCTATTTATTTTGGTACAATCTAGCTGGGAGTTAACAGCCATTGAAACCGTTAAATCATCAGAGTACTTCACAAAGTTTATTTCATCAGAATGAGGCAAGTCATGTAAGAAGAAAGAAAAAAGAAAAGGAGAAAGGACAGCGCCTTGAGGAACACCAGGTTCAGTAGGCAATGAAGTGGAAGACTTCCCTTTATATACGGTGTACTGCTTTCTGAGAAATAGGAATGTAACCAGTTAACAGCCGAACATTCTGTTTGACTAGCAGCAAGTTTATTTAATAAGATGTCCCTAGGGATCGAGCCAAAAGCAGATGTATAGTCTAGGAACGCGCAACGAACAAATTTAGCCCCTTGTCTAGACTGGAAGCAATGTTATGATATTAGACGGCAGCTGCATCTAAAGTGCTTCTACTGTGCTTATAGGCGAATTGTTTAGGGTCATTAAGGGATTTAAGCGAAGGGCCAAGGCTAAGTAAAAGTAATTTCTCCACAATTTTCAAAAAAGGATAGGTAATAGCAATGGGTCTGAGTTTGATACATGCTCCAGTAGATGATCTAGGTATAGGTACAACTTTAATGTCCTTCCAAACGGCAGGCACAATATTACCGGAAGAAGATTTGTTAAATAGATCAGTAAGAGGGTGACACAGAATATCAGAACATTAAAAAAAATAATACTAGGTACATAATCGGGACCTAAGCCCTGGGAAGGATTCAGAGACTCAACGATTGATTATATAATCTAAAACTATATATATCACGGTTTGATCACTTGAAAATAAACCTTTGCGTCCGTGTCTTGCCTTCTGCTGTTACACTGTAATAAGTCGAAATACATTTTTTTAAATGAAATTATTCCAAAACAATTTCAAATTTGGTGATTTTGTGAAATAATATCCCAATATAGATAATAGTTATTTATGGTGTAAAAATGCATTGTTTATTGTAACTAAGATTATTCCAAAAAAAAGTTTAAAATATCTTTGTTCCATCGTAAAAATTGCATTGGATAAAGAAATGTATTGATACATTCAATCTACTATCGGAATTATTGGATAATGAACACCTGTTCATATATATATATATATATATATATATATTCTTGGAATTTCTTATTATTACCTAGGTTACTAAAGAATAAGGTAAAAATATGCCTTTCGCATAATCTTGTGAAATATGATAGCACACTATGGGACAACAGTGTCACACAATATGTTAAACAATATGCAATGCTTTGTGACAACAATTGTTTCAGTCAATTATCTCCTGTAACCTACAAAACACCTAAATGATATGTGATAAAATTAGGCCTGCATAGAATTACTGAACACCACTAGGTTTAAATTTTCATGGAAAATATCCATCATTCATTGCTTTGTTTTGTCAAAAGCTTGATAATGAATTAATTCAAATATGGAGATAAAGTCGACATACATTTTGGACTTATGATGAAAACACATCCACTATACATTATGTAGGTATTCTTACTACT